GGTTGAGAACTTTCTGAAACAAATCCATCCACCTGTTGGTAAGTGTTTGATGAGTGCTTTGTGAAAAGCCAATGCCTTGTTCACTATATACCTCCGATGGTACTGAGGGTGCATTGCTCACACCAGCTGAAATTTTCAGCCTCTGTTCCACGGCTTAAAGATGGAGATATATATGTAAGTAAGGGTCAAGGTTCAAAAAGCAGTGAAAATATTTGCCCATTGAGTCACACTGCTAATACAAGACTCTTGACTGCTCACTGTAAACCATCACACCAACACATATGCACTAATACCACACAAGCAAAGTCAAAGGAACTACAAGTGAAGCTCAAGAGAAATTTAAGCATTTTGGTAAACATAATGTCTGTAAATCAATGCTGAGAGCCATCATGCAAATGTTTTCATAGGAAACCTCTGAATGGCCCTTGCTGCTTTTTTTTCTTCTGAGCTGGACTCCAAGAAAGCTGGAAATGGACTTTTTACAAGGGCACATTGTGACAGGACAAGGAGAAATGGCTTTACACTAAAAGAGGTGAGGTTTAGGTTAGATATTAGGAAGAAGTTCTTTACTGTGAGGGTTGTGAGGCACTGGGAAGGTTGTCCAGAGGAGCTGTGGATGCCCCACCTATGGAAGCATTCAAGGCCAGGTTAGATGGGGCTTTGAGCAACCTGGTCTAGTGGAAGATGACCCTTCCCATGGAAGTGGGTTCATAACTAGATGGTCTTTAAGATCCCTTCAAACCCAAGCCATTCCATGATTCTATGACTCCGTTAAGGGCTCTGTACTGGACAGCTTTCTATGCCACTGTGCAAATCAAGCACTACTGATTGAAGCAGAGAAAGGCTGTGAACACTCAAAAATGTCCAAAGGAAAACACAAGAAATCAGCATTTAATATATAATGTGTCTGCAGTCTCTCAAAGCTCTGCAATGAGAAAGCTCCATGAAGCAGAAGTTCTGTTCATATACAAGAAAGCAAGGATGTGTTATGGCTTAAATCTCTGGAGTGAAGAAGGTGGTTTGCTCTTTACTGCCACAGAGAATTGCACAAAGGATTTAGGTTTCACAGAAGGTGAACTCTCCCCACTCCACCTAGACAGCACAGTAGAGCTGAGGGTGATGTACCAGGCACTGCAAATCCATAAGGAAAGAAACTGGTGAAGGAGGGTCAGGGTATAGCTCTTTGTGGAAAGGAGCATATGACTCCATCATGCCCTGTGTGTGCATGAGTGCAAGCAAGGTGAGATCGGCATACATGATATTCCAACCTACTGGGATGACTGAAAAGAACAAATATAAAGTTTTAAGCTCCATGATCTTTTTGCCAGGAAGCAATGCTTACAACAAGAAAACAAACCAGCTTAGATAGAAAGGACAAAAATGCCCATATTTCAGCTTGAAATCAAAACTTCCATATAACTTCCAGTATGATTCTTCAGCTTTCTAAAGACCTCCTCAATTATCAGGGGCCAATCTTAAAACACACTGTTTGAGCACCTTGGTGAGGGCAGAGTCAATGTATTGATGACTGAGGAACATACAGCATACTTTTACTTTACTAGATGTATTCAACTCCCTACAGAAAGATTCAAGATGTCATCAGTATTGGAGAGATGACCCTTAGCTGTGCAGTCAAGAGCTTTTACAATGTGAAGCTGGCATCCATTGTTTCTAGTTCCTGTAGTATCTTTCCATAAAGCTGACAGTGGTTGGATAGCTGTAAGGGAGATGGATGGGGTTGAGTATACAGAGAAAAACATTTTGTGATTGGAATGTGATTATAGAGCTGATGAAGCTCTAATGGCAAATCCAAAAAGGACATACAAGCTGCTCAACACTGTACAATTCCCTGAATCCAGCAGCTCTCATCTTCCTCAATGTCCTCGTTCTGGCTGGAATAGAGTTAATTTTTTCTTAGTAGCTGGAACAGTGCTGTGTTTTGGATTCAGTATTCGAATAATGTTGATAAGATACCGATTTTTTGGCTGTTGCTAAGTAGTGCTTCCCCTAAGTGAAGGACCTTTTCATTTCCCATGCTCTGGAAATGAGGAGGTGCACAAAAAGACATGGGGGAATCAGGACGGCTGATTCCAACTGGCCAGAGAAACATTTAATATCATACAATGTCATGCTCAGTTTGTATACAATTGTGGGAGTTATCCGGAAACGGGGCTGATTGCAGTTTGGGGATGGGTTTGGCATCGGTCAGTGGGTGGTGAGCAATTGTGTTGTGTGTGCATCATTTGTTTTTTCTGGGGTTTTATCTCTCTCTTCTTTTTATTACTATTATTATTATATTATATTTTGTTTTCTTTCAGTTGTTGGACTGTTCTTGTCTCAACTCATGAGTTTTACTATTTTTTCCCCCTCATTCTCCTCCCCTTTCACTGTGCTGGTGGGGCAGAGGTGACCAGGCAGCTGAACGATGCTTGGCTGCTGTCTGGGGTTAAACCATGACACTTAATTATTTCACCAGAGTGGAAGAGACTGCCAAATAATAGCATCCCTCTGAAAAATGCAAAGCTGTTTTGATGACTCATCTGGCAGCTACAGCAACTACTTTATATTAATACTAAGTCAGAATAAAAAATTTTTGAAAATTAAGGTAAAGGGAAATAGAGGTTAAGACTTGGAAATGTTTCAAAAAAACAACCAACCAACCATTCAACTAAACCAAACCAAACAAAAAAACTCCAACAAAACAATAAACCCAAAACAATCAAACAAAAACCCCATAAAACACCAAACAAACAAAACCCCCAAAGCATTCAGTATTATTTGTAGATTCCCTCCATTTGTCTTAGACTAGCCAGAGAAATGATTAATGCTGTCTCATTATTTCGTAACAACATTTGGAATATAAGCAATGAAAAGTAAAGAAGAAAGGCCAGTGTAAAAACATTCCTTCTTATTCCCTCATCCAACATCTTCAAAAGAAAATACAAAAAGCCCACAGTAAGACTTATATTCAATCAAAAGAAAGGAAAATCCCAATTAGAGATTTAGGATTTTAACTTAGTATAGATGTTCTTTTAAGAAAACTATTCTTACTTGCTGTGTTCGTACTGGGATTTAGGAAGTGCAAAGAACAGGAATTTAGCTAGCTAATGTGCATTAACAGCTTAGCACAAATAAGGCAGTATGCTTCCATGATGTATTAAAAATCAGTTAGTTAAACCTCAAGCTACTTTTTGCCATTATGCTTAACATATGTTAAAATCATACTGCCTTGTTTTCATTAGGCTGTTAATACATGCCCCCAAAGACAGCTTCACCTTAAAGCTCCCATGAGAAAGACCTAAAGGTTTAGCTCTGTTGGCAAAGCCATCTTAAGTTGACATTCTGCTGATGCGGCTGTAACACACTTCCTATCTCTTCACTCCCCCAGTAAACACTCTTGGCAAAAAGATTACAAGGCCAGAGAGCTGCACCTGCACTTTGGATACGCAGCAGCGTCACATTCAGCATCCCGTTTCCTTATGCCCATGGTTAGAGCAACAAAGGTCCTGATCCTGGGCACAAGAAAGTGGAGGCCAGCCTATGAGGCTGGCAGAATTTCATGTGCTGCACGTGAATTCACACAGACAAATTGAGGCTTTACCTGAAATTGTCTTGCTTTAGTTCATGACTTCTTGTTCATAGGGTAGGAAAGAAAATACTACCTGTCCCAGGACCTGTGTGAATCCACCCTGATTTTTCTTTCCTAAATTAAAGCATTCCATAAGATTTTCCCAAATCTACAAGTTACTTTTACATGACTTAAATTTAGATTTTCAGCATTAATTCCAAAAGAAAATTCCCTGCCTCTGAGGTACGACAATGCATTAAAAATACCCGCTGCCCCTTTAGAAAAACAACCAGTCCCTATATATTCATCACTTTCATTGTGCTGTTTCTCTGGGCAATTTACTGAAGAAGAAATTATATTCTTTCTTCTGCCTTTTTACTTGCTCAGGTGGGACAGTCACCTGGATGTCACCTGGCCAGAGACCTAGTTGGTGAGGCCTAGTGGTGCTTAGTAAGGCACCAAACACCATCAACAGAGTATAAAAGGGGCTCTTAAGGTCCTGGTGACACATTCGCTGTGTGTACTTCCTCTGCTTTACAGCTGACTCACGCGGAGAACGACCAGGCTCTCTCCAGAACAGGAAAAAATAACTGCATATTATCTCTTTAAAAGCCTCATAATCCTCAGGCAATAACTGAGTAGTAACTGCAGTGACGGGCAAAATCTTTCTGCTTCATATTAATAAACCCCAACACAATATTACTGCTTGCTGCATCAAAGGCTTTTACATAAATGACCTTTTTTTTCTTTTTTTTTTTAACACTGAAACAAAGAATACATATATGGAAGGGCTTGGATGTTAAGGACTTTGCTTAGGTTTCCATTTGGTGCGTCATGTTGGCTTTGGAAATAATTAGAAAGCAAACAGAGAGTGCAAATGGGGGAAAAGCAAATCATCTCTATGTTATAATGGTCTGACAATACTCTCCAGAAGAAAGTATCACTGTTACCTCCTAAGGAAACCAACTGCCCAGTGTCAGTCTTGAGAGTCACTGCTTGCCTTATGCTGGACCATAGGGATGCACAAAGCCATGACAACAAGGGATGACCCGCCAATGCCAGTTACGTCTTCTGCAAGTGCTTTTTCTCTAGATGATCTAATGCAATTATGATGAATTCTGCACGGTTGCATCTTATTCCCATAAACTGCACAGACAGAAAGAGCCTGCTCCAAAATGTGGCACCTGTGAAACTGAGTTACCCACTTGCGTCCACTAACGTCCTTACTATGTGGCAGTTTCTTATCCCTTGGGGAATGGCTGCTGGGTGATTATGAATACCTCTAGATCATTTCCACAGGTGTCCTGGTTCATATTTGGGTTATAGATCAGGTCACTAACAGTTGGAACTGCAAGGTTGCTTTCCCTCAGTGACATCATGGCATTGATAGTTCTACCATGACAACAGAACACACTAGATAGGCTAGTGCACAGTGTGCCTGGTCCTAAACCCTCCCTTAGAATATGCATTAAGCTCCAGCCAGGACTGCCTTGCCAGGTTGTCCATCTTTGCTGGAGGACCTTAGGTAAACCAGTCAGATTTTTACTGGGTAGTTTTGTAGGGACAAACACAGTCCTGCAGTGTATCCATGAGGTTCCACCAACATGACACCTTCCTTGCACAAGTGAGATGCTTTATAGGGAGTTGTAGCACAGCCAGGCAGAATGGATGAAAAGAGGAGAGCACTAAGGCTTTAAACTACGGGTCCCGTGACAGCCAGGGATAATGAGGGGTAAACAAAGTTTTTCTGCAGACTGGTTGAGTTTAGAAGTTCAGCATAGTCTATTTGAGCTGACTAGAAATACTTCATGAGGAAGTACTTCATTTAGACCTTCCCAGAAAAAGAATTAGAAGTACTTAAAAAATAGTAAGAACAGCAATAATAAAAGAGGTGAAAATCACACCATTCCCAAAGTTTTGGAAACCACATTTTCCATTTTAAATTATTGTAGACAGCAAATTTCAGAGAGTCTTAGCCTTGCTAGCAGTTTCCACTATTTTATCTGTAGTATCTAACAATAGGAGCTTTGCATCTCCTCTCTTCATTACCATCCTGATAATAACATCCTGTACAAATGCAGGCAGATTTGAACTTCCATCAGAGAATTGTAGCAGCTGCTGAGCAGAGAGAGGATTTGAATTTTTTTTTTTTTTCTTTCTTTTAAAACAATTAAAAAGAAGTATCTGACTGTTTCTACGAAAACTGTGGACTGGACAACATCTTTTAAAAAACCATCACTGGCTGAAAACTGGCAGTCGCTCCATCAGTATGACAGAATAATTAAAACCAGTATGACAATAATTAGCACTTCTATAGTTCTTTTCATCCATGGATATCAAAGCACTTCACAGAAACAAGTGCAGCTACCTCAATTTTTAAAGCTGAGCTTAGGAAAAAAAACAAATCAGAACTTATTCTGTGTGGAAAATTTCAACAACTTCATCACTATTCATCCTAAATTAGAGAAAAGAGCTGAAATATTTTTTACAAATTTCCAAAATCAAGAATACTTTAAAAAAGTGCCACAGTTGATTAGGAAACTTTGGTGGGTTTGATGGAACCAAACATTTTGCCATTCTGAATTTAGTGCATTTTTGGTTTTTTGAGTCTTTCAACAATACATCTGCCTTTGGGAAGGGAATGCCTCCTGGGAGCTGTAGTTCATGTTTTCCCACTGAACTTGATAGCTCTATTGGTTAGGCACTGCCTGTCTCCAACATGCCCTAAGGCTGGGCCTGCCTATCCTACTGTTCTGCAGAAAAACATCATCAGACTCTTTCTTATTGTCTCTACTGAGCTCCTGAATGGGAAGCACTGACTGCAGCAAGGAGGGCTGGACAGTTTAGCAAAGAAGTAAATATAAAGCCCAATAACCCCAAAGACATGCTTTAGACGCCAGTCCAACTCTCCTTCTATGAGTCAGTAAAGCATCTTAAAGTAGATTCTACTTTTCGGGATGAGTTCTTTCAGATCAAGCCCGTGTACAGAGAGCTGAAGGAGGCATTTTCTGCTGCACCTGCCACCTTGGGTTTATGTCTGCAGTGATATGGTCAGCATATCCACTTGTTCGCAGCTTACAGTTTGTTCTTTTAAGGCCTGGCCTGTCTAGAATTGGTGGGGAAGAGAAGGAAAGATCATGATTGCTACTTAGAGATGCCTCACCTCAAACTAAAGCTGCTAATATAACTTGACAGAAAGTGGGTTACATAGCCAAATGCTTGCTGATATGGCACCCTTCTCTGTAGGTTGCATAGTTTTAATATCAGCAATGCCCCATGACTCCTCTCAGCTTCCATGTCAGGTACGACAAAGAGCTTCCTCTCCAGTGAGGCTGGAAATGTGCACAGGACCAGAGGGAGCCTGAATAAGCTGCTGCTCTTCTAGGAAAGCCCATTTACATTTACTGCATTTCTAGAACTGGCCTGAATGTTTCAATGCTTTACTCGTGCTCCCCTTACACACACACTGGGGAAATTTATCTTGATGGTCCCAACTACTAGGATACTGAAGGGGGGACTTTGATAACTGATCAATCAAGACTGAGCTGATTAAACTTCTGCTGTTTTCCAAGACTGTTCCTTTAATAATTTCAGAGCTACAAACTGCTAGGGAGGCCGCAAGTTCGGCAGGGAGGAATCAAGGAGAAGCAGTTAACATTGCTACTAATTTAGGCAATGTTACTAAAACCAAAGTAGATGTTTGCAGGCACAGAGCATGGGGAAACTGAACAGTATCAGGTTCAGCTGATTATTCATGATTACACATACAAGCAACCCAGTTAACTCTTTAAACCTAACCTGGTAAAACAGGACAGTCAGATGTAAACAAACATCACCCTGGGGAATATCGGGTCAAAGTCTACCCTTACAAACATGCCTTTTACCTGTATTTTAGTGTACTATACAGGTTTGGTTGTTGTTTTTTTTTTCCACAGATACTTCTGATACTATGTCTGACTGTAAAACCTGCCATACATTATGGTGACTCATTCCCAGATGCTTATTGTATTAGCCATTTACATGTTTGTCAGATCTTACCACTCAGCACCTGAGTTACACACATAGCACAGCATAACCTCACTCGGTGAAACCAGCCAAGACTAATTCCAGCAAACAACCAAATCATTCTTGCATTTTAATAAAAGAATAAATATTTCTGGATAAAAACCTTGTAAAAAGCCTCGCAGGTCCGTATTTCTCTACTTGCATATTTGCACAGCTGAAGAAAGAAACAGGACTTTTCCCTGGCTCTACCTCTAAGCAACATACTCCATCACCTCAAATGTTGATAGCTGCAAAGGAATGGAGGAGAAAGACAGAACCGCTCTGATTATGACCTGGGACTGATGACTGATCTGGTATTTTTCAGTAGTAGGACAAAGTTCCCAGACATCTTTGTGAATAGGGAGAGGTGGGTGGGACTGCCACTCTTGAATGCTATCCACTGTAACAAGACACGTATTGAATGTAATTTGAAAATCTCCCTAATTTCTAGATTTAACAAGTGCATGATGCCAGGCTCAGACGTTTAGTTCTCAGTTAAGAAACATGGAGCAGAGGCTGATGCTTAGAACAATCTTTTATGTGAAATGTATACGTTCCTCTGTCAAAACATAAATAATGTACTGGGACAGTGTCACCTTGTGGTTGTTTGCTGACATAGCGGCCAGCTGAGAGGGGATACTCCCTGTATCTAACCCCCCTCACCCCCAAAAGCCTTCATTCAAGAATGTCAGCCTTGCAAATTTACTTTGGGGTGAAACAGGACCTCCATGATCTGTCCACTCTCCACCCTCCATGCAGGTGTTAGCAGCTTTTGCACCAATGTCTCCGAAAACCCTCACAGAGGTACAAAGGCATTAAACAACAGGGACAACTCTACAACTTGCACTGGCCTCAAAAGTCTGAGAGAGAAAGATGTGTGAAGAAAGAAGCTGCCAAGTTCCTAAATGGGAGCTGTGACTTTAGGCAATAAAATTTCACTTCTCCCTTTTCGAATTTCCTGCCTTGCAAGGTAAGTTCAAAGGACTGGCACTGGATTTTGGAAACTGTTGTGCAGAAAGAGGAAAAAATACAGCCTTAATTCAAAGTTAGTACTAAAGTAAGGAAATTCAGACACCAAACTGTGCTCTTAATGGAGAACTAATAGATGTTAATTAACCGCCAATTGACAAAAAAACATATTTACTGTAGTTTAACAGCTCCGCAAATAAGCAAAAACTCATTTACACATATTTAAACCTTAATAAATACATTTGCAGTCATTGGACGCTTAAGTTGATTTTCAAACTGTCCCTCATAGTAAATATAAAAGGGTACATTTGGTTGCAAAAGTTATTACACATTAATTAAACATCAGCTCATTGCAGAAAACTAAATAAGTAAATGGCCTCTTTCATCAATACTGGTTTATTACACAGCTATTAGGAGCTGTACACAAAAATGAAGAAAAAGCACCATGCGATACAGCTTTGTCTCTGTGCTGTCACCCACACCTTTGCAAAGCTCTCCCTGGTAAGGGAGGGTTCCCCAGGCACTGTGCACAGGTGAGGAGGGCCAGCGTGGCGTGCAGTAACATTACTGCAGGCACTGCTCTAAGCAGCAGGTTTCTTCAGTGCAGTAATGCATGCAACAGGATTTAGAAAACTCGTTCTGAGCAGAAGGCATGGGGTGGAAGAGCGTGTGGTGACACTGAGGAGGAAAGGTGGTGTGAAGACCACTTGCAGAGTTTTCATTCTGTGAATTTATTTCATTCAATCCCGTGAGCCTTTCTTTGATTCCTTTTTCTGGATTTCTCTGTTTGGACAATACCATCTCTTCTGCTACTACATTTGCTGTCCATTCAAAATGATGCAAGAACTTTCTCTGGAGCTTTCATCATGATCCTGCATTCCTTCTCTTGTCCTACTCCCTGGTATATCTCTTAAGGTTGCTTCTAAACTGCATTCATATATTTTGCCCTGAGAGCACTGCACTCACTTCCCACAGGTCTGTAACAAGGGTTAAGCCTTTAATATGTGTTAAATGCTCTAAGATCCCCTCACAGAAAATGCTGGACTTAAACAAAATATAAAAGCCACGTCCTTTTCGTGTACTTCTCATAGGAACACACAACATAACACCAAGTCAAACGGTAATTATCCCAGGTTGCTTCATTCTCCAATGCTGTTGCAGAAACCTCCAGTGGAGGGAGCTTAAAATAACTAAAAAAGAGCTTTACTTTCAAGAGACTGACTTAATTAAGTCATTGTTTTGTATTTATTTTAAAAAAAAAAACAAACTCAGGAAAGGAGAAAAGGAAATAATAAGCATTCATCAAATGGGAAAAGTCCAGATCAAACGGTGAAGAAGTGTTTTCAGACTTTGAGAGAATACAAATAGAGTGAAATAGAAAACACAAATTAAATTAAGAATCATAAAATTTTCTCTGTTTGCACAGCTCAGGCAACACTGTCTGGAGCCAATTTATTACCAGGCTCCACAACAAATAAGCTCACGTGATTCTTACACTGAAATAACCTTTACTCATTTCACAATAAAACAACCATGGGGTCTGGTAAGTAAAGATGAATTATAGCTGCCTGTCAAAAATAATTATGATAATCCCTCCCACTCCCACAACATCTGAGGATTACAACAACCTTTTCAGACAGCACAGCAATCTGAAATACACAATGCAACATAACAAAAGTATGTCATCAACAAGTTCTCAGATGGAGAAACTGAGGCACAGGCTAATCAGTGCACATCCACAGAGTTACTCTGATCCCTGTTCCCACCTTGGCCTCAGTTTCTTGAGAGTAGAAATAATTCCACTGATTTCAGTGGACTCCTTTTGTTTGTTTTGTTTACATACTGCTATCACCATCTCAACAGATGAACCGCAGCTGCACTCAAGCTCTGTGATTATGGGCCAGTGTCCTCTTGTGCTACACAAAACAAACTGAAAGAGCTGAACAAAAAAGGATTTCCCTGTCCCAGAGTTTGCAATGGAGATGAGACTGCAACCCTTTGTGTTTGACTTGGTCATTGTGCCTGGATAGGATGGATCTGTTACTATCTGGCAATCCTTATGGATTGAGGCCCTTGATGGTTGGGGTGAGTCTTCTCTAATGTTGAGGGTATATGTTGCGTTCCAGTGATTGAATTTATGGAAGAGCACAGGCTGAGTTACCTCCTTCAAACTGTGCAATTTCCCCTTCCGTATAAGAAGGCAACACTCATAATTATGAGAACTGAACCAAAAACCTATTTTTAAGCCCGTGTGTGTGTGTAGGGCTTTGCCTTTAGTAGAGCCTTAGCACAGCAAAATTCTGGTTAGTCCACATCGAATTCCCTCCAGGCATCCACAGGCTTGACTGCAAATCCTTCTCTCAGATAACCCAGGCCTCTCCTAACTGTGGCCCTACCTCACATCCAGCTTTCCTGCTGAGGCTATACCATTAATAACAAGAAGGAAGCAGAACAATAGCAGTGCTTCCAGGAAAGTGATACCTCTGCATCTGGTGTACTTTAAAGGCACCAGGCTGTTCTGCGTTCACAAGGCACAACTCACATGATAACTGTCAGCCAAAGACGTCCAAGTCAGTTGTGCCAAGCTGCCTTTTTCTTCTCAGTTACAGACAACTGCGAAGTCCCTCTCTTTTCCCAGATGTTCTTGCATGCTTCATTGCAAAAAAAAATAAGTGTCTGTCAAAACCACCCGTGCCTGCTCCCAGGGAAACAGTAGCCAGGGGCAAGGTGTGTAGGGGAGTGTCCCTTTTAGAACCTGCAGCCTCATTAAAGTAATTGGCATCTGGATTTTGTAAGCTCAGTGCCAAAGGGGCTGATGGGGTAACTAATGCTGTGGAGTCAGAGCCAGAAACTGCATAGCAGGCTTCTGAAATGTGGTCTCTGGCAAGATCTATGCAATGAAATGACATTATGGTTTTGCCATACATTACATACAAATTAGAAGAGGTTGGCAGCCATGCAACTGGCATACCATAGCAGCAATCATCCTTACAGGATGTAGAAGGCAAGGCTATTCATCCTCAACCCAGCACAGGGGTGGGAATGGGAAGGACAATGCTCGCACAGTACACCTGCTTGCCTCCTTTCCCCTCTGAGTGACCTAATGGGGTGGAAGGCTCTTCCCAATGCACAGCTCCTGGTGTTCCTACCTTATTTTTCAGCCTTACCAGAAGGTGTGATTTTCTTTTTTTTCCTACATCTGTCCAAAATTCCCTTCAAATGTCTGCTGTTCTCTGTCTCTGCTTCTCCCCAAGTATCCTTGCCTTAGTGCCGAATAGCTGCAGGAAATGAACAACAAAATGTCTGTTTGCAGGTGCTGAGCAGTGATAGATGCAGACAGCTGGCTGGCCAGCCGGGACTTCACCTGCTTTGCTGTTGATGAACTACTCTTTCTGTACATTAATTGCTTTTAATGTTTCCCCCATTTAGGCAGCTATCTCCTCCTCTTTAACCTTTTGTTTTTTCTCTGAACTGTTTGGTCTACAGAGTGTACAGCAAAGCTTCCCAAAATCAAACAGCATTCTCTGATGACAGAGGACAGATGCCAACCTCCTGGTTCCCTATTTTCAAAGCGATCAGTACTAATAATATGGGGCAATGTTAATGAAAGGGGCACTCATTTCTGCTATTTGTTGCTCTTATTTTCCCCCGTGACTGCAGGGATTCACCAATGTCTACGGTGTAGAAAGACAAACTAAAGCAAAAATACACATAAATGTACGCCAGAGCTCTTGCTACAAGATTACAACAAACTTGCCCAAGGCCAAATGTCATCTTGATGTCAGCAATTAGGTGAGACTGATGGCATTTCTTGTTCATGTCCTTCCTCTGTAGTACTTCCACTGTTGTTAGATCAGGCCGCTAAGATTATCAGTGTTTCTTTCAAATAAGCAAGATAGGTTCCATTAATAAAGGATTGTAATGAGGGTTCTGAAGGCTTGATAATTCCAAATGTCCAGCCTGCTACCCATCAAACTTGCCCCAACACACCATGTCTCACACTGCAGGGTTTCACAAGGCAACAGTCCCAAATGGTTCCCCAGGCTGAGCACAGTCAGACACTATCACACTCCAAGACTCAAGTTTGCCATCTGCAAGACAACCCAATTGCCTTTCAAACTCCCTGTTCTCCACAAGACACCACTGAGGAATCTCAAGGCAGAGAGAAGGCAGTAGTAAGGTGTCTGCAAGGAGCTCTATTTTAGATATTCAACATGAACATTACCCTGCCTGTTGGATTAATGCACCTAATCATCAAAATGTTGAATCTGATACATCTATCCTTTTTTTTCCTATTGCCTGCAGTGTTGCTGACAATACTAGAAAGCAATGTTTTAGTCTAAACCAGTTTAGGTCTTTAAAGGACGTCTGGATCAAGTCCAGCTCCTTGCTACTGCAAACAATTTCATTACATGCATTTTCAAAACCTGGAATGGGTAGCAAAACAGAGGGCTTAAAGGAGTAGAGAGGAAAGAAATCCTCCTCCTTTCTCGTGTCCATAGGAGCCCTGTTGCCTTCTGGAAAAGCTAACAGAATAGGTAGTTTGGGATGCTATTTCTCAGAAACAGCTTGTGCTGTCTCTTCAACCCCTGTTTCCAGTCTAAGGGATATCTCATTACAGTACCAGTGAAGGGGGCAGGGAACCAAAGTTCCTCAGATAACCTCCTCCACTTCCAACAGCGCGTATGACTAGACATCTGTGGAAGGAAAAGGGCCACTAAAAGGGAGCAATGATCAAAGTAAGCTTAAGTGAAGAGTTATGTTGCATTAGTGAGACTGATAGAACCAGAGATGGGGATAGCCCTTCACTAACTAAAAGCAGTGTCTGTTTCCCAGTTGAGATATGTCTGTGCTGCAGAAGTCTATAAAAAGAAGTACGAAGCACTTGAGTCTGTGTTTTACCTTGCCACATGCATAAGGCTAGAGAAAGGAACATCAAGAAGACGTGACAGGTGATGGCTGAAGAAGTTAAACTCCATTTCAAAACTGGTTGAGTAGCATTTAAAGGTAATATTACTAGGATAAATACTTGTCCAGTGGTCAAGTGAGAATTCTGAATCAGTCTATGAAATTTTGTGCAAGAGTGATACCTGTGTTGGAGTCAGGACGGTCTGTATCTCACATGGACTGGGGCAGGGATATATTAGGTGCAGATTTGGAAAAAGGGGCACTTTAACCATTCTAGGCAATAGGTTTC